CACTTAGCTGATTGCTCCTTCCTGTGTTTCCAAAAAGGTGACTGCAAAAGTAAGCTGAGACACATTTAATATTCTAAGTATTCTGATGGCATTTTAGCCAAAGGATTTTTATCAAAAACATAATTAATGTGCACAATAAGGAATCATTTTATTAAACATACATGTAAACAGAGTTCTATGGGGCCCCCAGGAACTTGGGGCCCTAGGCAACTAAGAGTAAATACTTTATTACTGTACATAAGTAGCTTATTTCAGTATATTTATTTGCTTGAGTGTTTATTTTTTGTGAGGACTTTTTACTTTTACTCACCACATTTTAAATATCTGTATCTGTACATTTTTAAAATGAGATTTTTTCTTATTAAATATCAATAATAAGATGTAACAACTATAAGAAAACAAAGGGGAAAAGTCTGCAACAAACTTCATTTATTGTTCGTAGAAAAACACCAGTAATGACATCAGAGGTACAAATACTTCTTTACCTTACTGAAGTAGAAATGTTGGCTATCTTTACTTTACCGCATTAATTATTCTTTTTAGGCAACTTTTTACTTCTGCTCCTTACATTTTAAAAATAAACTCCTTAGTTTTGTTTCATTTTAACTCATTTTTCATTCTGGCCTGTTGGTATTAAAAAAAAAATTAAAAACCATACAAACAATTTATTTCATCCAGACAATTCATTCCTTTGTGGTTGGACTCGGTGCTGCCCCAACTTGTTGCTCACCACAAACCAAAATAAATCGTTTTTCAAGATGATTCAAAGTTAAATGTGATGCTGTTACCATTAGATATAAAATAAAGAAAATAAAATCTAAGGAAGTTATCATCCAGAATTGTAGAAACATCTTCCTTTAATAGTGTAGAGCAGTAAAGCTTCTGGCCTTAACAGTTTGCATTACTTTGACTTTTATACATAAAGAACCTTTAAAAATTGTACTTTAACGATTTTACTGAAGTAAAAAGCTGAAGTTGATCCTTTAACTTCTACAAAACTGCTTTTAAACAGCAGGATTTATACTTTTACAGGAGTAATAAACATGAATACTTTTGTTGCCTCTGAGTGACTCGGTAAAGAATCCGATTCATTTTCTCATCCGTTCCACTTTTTGTTTTTTGTTTTTTAGTTTTGATGTTGATCATGTTTTTGGTTCTATTTGCAACTTTAATGCTATTTGGAACTTTAATGTTGGTGACGACCAGAGCTCTAAAAATTATTCAACTTTAATGCAGGACTTCTGTTTAGTTCGATCGATATTATTTTATCTGAAATTACAATTTGGTACCAAACTAGTCTGAATGTGTATATTTTATGTTTCCTCTTATGGCTCAGTAAGGAACAGAGAAAAATTACCTTATTTCATGTGTATAGAGCTGCTCTTTTAGGAAGTAAACTTTTACACATTAACACTTACTTGTGTAATAGTTGAAGTACTTTTAGGAGTAGTTTTGCTGCATCATGCATCACTCCTGTCCTCTGCAGCAGACTTTAAAGGAGCTGAAACCTTTTACAGCCTGTTTGAGAGAAGGAGCGCTACTGCAGGTCATTTATCCCTGCTGCAACCAGACTCCACAATGCAACACTACAACCGCAATAAGTTGTGCAATATATGCAACATAAGTATGAATATCTATCTATATAAATACCAATGTAAACACCCTGTGCAATAACCCTGTATAATGATCCTACTATAAACGTTTTTTTTTAAATCTGCCATATGTGGACGCACTGTATAAACTGCATATATCCCATGCACCTTTTTTCTTCCGTTGGCTCATTCTTCTTCTCCTCTGATAATTTGAGCTGATGTAACGAGTAACTTTTCTCCACTGTGAGATCAATAAAGTTAATCAATCAATTAAACTTTTAATTGAGTAATAAAATTTGTGATAAAATTTCACTACTCTTACTTGATTAAAATGTTTGGTTTCTCCATCCAACATAAGTAACTTCACTGAATGATAAATAGACTTGTTTTAAAAAAAAAGTGATTCAGACAAAGACAAAAAAACTCCTGTGAGGATTGATTTCATACATTTTATATCAAAGAGAAGAAGCATTTATTTTGCCTGGATTTTTAATTATCAGCTGTAGCATTTACGCTTTTCAATTGCTAAAATTATTTATTATATTGTTTGAAATTTATTTTAAAAAGTCAAGAAGACTTGACAGTAAGAGTAAAGGCTTTTATTTTGTAAACCGGAAGTCGTGCGCATGGTCGTTCAATTGTAGAAACGCGGAAGTGTTTCAGATACAAAGGCTGTGACGGAGTTAGGTTTTTCTCTAAATACCAGTTTTCCTGTGAAGCGGAGAAACCAGAACCGTAAGTTTGGTTTTTTTTAACATCGCGGATTTATTGATTTCTCGTTTTTTTCCACTTTTTGTTCCGGCGGATCAAAGTTAACCGAGTTTAGGCCGAAAACGCTAAACTTTTCAAAGGTGTGTCGTTTTTAAACTGCGTCTAAAGTGTAAAAGTTTATTTTCTTCTTAGTTTTGATAAGCTTAGATTGGTCTGTGAAACAACATATTTGTTAACTTGGTTGAGTTTGGATCTTAGGATCGGTCCACATCCGGTTCGGGTTTATTCCTGTCCGTCGCGTCGCTCCTCGGTTAAAAATAATCTGTTCAAAGCCTTTAAAATAAACTCCTGATGGTTTAAAGTGAAGCCGAATTCACCGCAGTGCTTTACTTATTTCAGTCCTTACATTAATCTGACTCCAAGATGATTTTGCTGGTTTATACAGACATTTATCTGCAAACTGTGAAGATTTATAAACAAAGTTTGGTTACCAGATTAAGCCGGAAGTACCTTTCAGGTTAAAAGGTTAAATTCCTGTCAGAGTTTCCTCTGTGGGTCTCTAAGATGTTTAATTAAATGTTATATTTCGGTTTGTTGGACCTCAGTGGAGACAGATGTTGATATTTGTTCTGAACACATGGCTGACATTTTATTTTCAGTTCCACTTTCAGATGTTTCAGGAATTCCCCTTCAAAGACTAATACCTGCCAATCTTTTTACGTATTTCTATTCGCAGGGTTAAACTCTGTTTTCTGATTTCTCAGATCTTCTCCCTGAAGCTGCAGAAAGATAAAATACTTAAAGCTGATATTAGTCTGTTTATTCATGTAGAGATGAATGGAGCAGCAGGACCTGCAGATAAAAACATCCAAAATGTTTTTTTTCTTTATCAGTTTGATCCTCATGTTTTGGATGAAAACAGGTCTGATCATTTTATGTTGTTTTATGTTTAAATATAAAGATGATTTTGGTCACAGAACAGGTTTGGGATCCTGATAAGAGCCTGAAATGTCGAATAAAAACAGTCCTCTGCCTTTTTATGGGCTGCTGTGAAAACATGCGCTTCAGGAAACAAAAATCCACTGCCAGATTTCCTCTGTTCCACCTGTCCCCGGTCCGTCCCCCTGTCCCACTGTCCGTCCTCTGTCCCCTCTTATCAGTCCAGTTTGCATGGACAGCTCCTGATTGGCTGCTCAGCACCTTTTAGACGTCCATCAGCTTCATCACACCTGGTTCCAGTCAGGATTCTAGAGAACCAGGATCCAGTTCCTCCAGCTGAGTCTGGTTTGTTGGACGCATCTAGATCCGCAGAACCTCGGCTCTATGCGATTCCCCCACCTGGGTCCATTACCCAGTTAGATCTGGACCAGAACCGGGTCAGACTTTGGTTTAATGACCGCTAGTCTTTCTGAAGGGACTTAGTGAGAAGGCTTGTGTTGGGCTTTGGCGGATCTATCCACCATAGATCTGGAGCCACTGACGCTGATGTTTCTCTCTTGTCTCTCAGCCTCAAAATGTCCGTCTACTCTCCGACGACGGTTTCTACTCCCAAAGACTCCTGCTGTTTGGGCACAGAGTTCCTGGGGAAACCTCGCTTCTTCCTGAAAATCGCTGAAGTGGTGAGTTTGAAAGTTCCTGCCATGTTCTGATTCGTTGGGTTGTTGTGATGTCATCAGTCGGATGGGTTCTTCTCGACCTCCACCGACCCATCCCTTCATGTTCTTCTCCCGACTGACCCGATTCACCTGCTTCCTCTAACAGGAAGAGCTCATGTTGGAGAGAATCCTACTGGTTCTGTAAGGTCCGGTTCTGTGCGGTCCGGTTCTTTGTGATCCAGTAGAACTCACCTCAGTCAAACATTAGAGGATAAAACTTCCTCCCTTTAGCTGTAGCTATCTGGTTTATTTTTTACATGTTCTGGTTGTTTTCATGAATCTTTTCAGTTTCTTTCCCTTTTTGTGACTATGAAGCTATGGGGTGAATTTTGGTCCATTATTGTTGCAAAGATGTTTTAGAAATTGAAAGTTGGGGCAAAATAAAAAGCAATCTAGAAATGAAACTTTTAGTTTAGAGAGGGTTTAGTAGAGATTTTTTTTAACTGTTGTTTTCTCAGATTTTGCTTTTGCATTAGTATTTTAATGTATCATTCATATATATACACATTTTTTCAGATTAAAGTCTTTTTAAATTGTGTTTTCCAGATCTTTCTTTTTATTTCGGAGGTCAGGCTTTTCCTCTGGTTTGAGGAACGACGAAGAATTTCTATTGGTCGGCTTGAAGTGAAGAAACTGTCTGTAAAACACCTTTTTTCCCTTTTTTTTTAAACTACACTTCAAAAATAAAAGATTAAATTTGACATTTTACGATCTGTAAAATAAAAAAGTTAAAGTATGGAGAGAAAAAAAACCTGCATTTTTTTTTTTCAAATTTCAATTTATAAAACATGTTCTTTGCAACAATAATGGAACAAAACTCACTCCATAGGATTAGGGCTGAACGATATTGATTTAAAATAACACTTAATATTAAGTTTTCATTTAGAATATGAAAAAAAACAATTGCTTTGTCTTATTTTAAGGGCTTGTTATCTAATTATCTCATTTACCTACTCAAATTAAGGGTAAATACACTTAATTTAAGACATTTTTACTTATTTGTAGATCATTTTTCCAGTGCAGTATCTTTGTTGAATGGCAGGATATAGATTTTGTGCTTCTAGAGCTCACTGAGGCAAGGAGGGGGACTCCATTTGTAAGGAGTAGTGATCAAAAATGCTAACTTGCACTATTAAAGGTTAACTACTGATAGTAAAGAATTACAATAGTTCCGCCTTGACGTAACAAACGCATGGACTAGTTTCTCAGCAATCACCCCTGGACAGGAGATTCCTGGAAGTTTCAGCTCCTAAATGCCTCCTGGATTCCTGTGGAAATGCCTCCCTCCTTCCTGTCTGCAGCTGCTGCAGAAAACTGACTCCGGTTTAGTTATTTTTTTCTTCCTCTCTGTGACTTTCTGATGTTTTCGACTTGCCGCCTCGGTTTTTGTGGTCGTCCGCTCCCTGAAATACTCTCCCTGTTGACTTCTTCTTCTCTGCTCTGAGTTCTCAGCAGTTATGTCACAGGAAGCAGCCGTTTTCACGGCTTCTCGTTTAACAGCGGTTCTGTGAAAATGGGGCGATGGGATCAGATGTGAGCGAAGACGTTCTGCGCCCAAACAGGCTCTTTGCTCTAATAATAATAATTGATCTTTATTAATCTCACATCGGAGGAATGCACCTCTGCATTTAACCCATCCCTTTGGGGAGCAGTGTGGGGTTAAGGGTCTTACTCAGGGACCCAGAGTAGCAGTCTGTGGGGGTGGGGCTTGATCTCAGAACCTCAGGATTCTCAGCTCTAAGCCGTGACCACTGGGCCGGAGTTCTGTCAGACCAGCAAACCATTGAGGCTGATTTATGCTCAGAAACCAGGTCGTCTGCATCGCAGTGAACGCAGATATGCCCCGCCCCTTCCGCAGACGCTGTGCTGCACCTCTCCAAAATTGTAGGTGAGAACAGACAGGAGGCCTCTGATTGGTCAAATCTACATTTATGCGTATTTCCTGTTTGGTTCCTTACCAGCTTGTTTTGTTTGTCTGGCCGCCATCATGGAAAACGACTCGTAAAGATGGAGCAGCTAGCAGAGCGAGGCGAGAACGCTGGGACCCTTTTTCCACCTGGATCCCCGCTCTTGTTGGCCCTCATGTCCCTCCGTTGTCGCACAAACTTGCCCCCACTTCCTCACCGCCTCGGCCGTATCTAGTTAGTTAGTTCCTGATTGGCCCTCTGGCGTTGTGGCGTGGAATAATATTGAGCATAAATCAAAAATATCTGCAACACACTGCTGCGGGAGGATAACCAGACCTTTAATCAATGCCCTTTATCTCTTTAGTTTTGTATGAAGAACACAATTTAAATTGCCTCAACAAGTTGTGTCCCTTTAGTCATGAACAAAGAATTTAAATACGTACTTTCTGGTGTTTTCTGAAGCGTGTGGCGATCTGACCTTAAGATGTTTCCTGTTCAAAGGGAGGAAAAACTCCCTGAACAGGAAGAAACGTCCAGCAGATCCAGGCTCAGTGTGAGCGGCCATCTGCTGAGGCCGATTATGGTTAAAAAAAAAACATTTTGGGAAAATGTTTGCATTCAGCATCTTATTTTAGTTTCACTATTTTCAGATCACAAGATCAAATATTTCTGTAAATAAAAGTTAAACCAAAAAGAGAAAATCTTTCATCAATCTCTTTATCTCAGGAGGAACTGTTGCTTCATTCCTGCTCTGTCGATATGACAAGGAATGTTATTTAAAAAAAGTAACCGGGTTAGTAAGTTAGCTTAGATGGGGGACATGAGGCAGAGATAATCCATTCTATTCAGTGTATTTCTATAGCTCCAATTCACATCATGTCATCTCAGGTCACTTTCCAGTTCACCAGATCATCCAGTCAGATTGATTCAAAGTTTTCTA